CGCGTGGCGTTTGTGCACGTGTGTGCAATCCGTTGCTGTGGCCGAGCTGTAATGGTGCAAGTGGATAGTTGTGTCAGGACCCGGGACGTTATGGGGCCCCAGCCCGCAGAGGCCGCTCTACCTATAGAGCAGCAGATTTTGGGGGGAGGGGCAGATTTTGGGACCTCTCCCTCCGTGAGCGGGGCGGATGCGGCTGGTGGGGCGACACGGGCTAATGTATTCTTGCCCCAGGGCCTTCTCTAACCTTGTTCCGGCGCTGATCGGCGGGGTGTCTGGATTGCATAATGCGTGTGCCTTGCACCCTGTGTGTCCTGTAGGGTGACCAGACAGCAAGTGTGAAAAATCGGGACGGGGGTGGGGGGTAATAGGAGCCTATATAAGAAAAAGACCCAAATATCGGGACTGTCCCTTTAAAATCGGGACATCTGGTCACCCTAGTGTCCGGCTCTAACCTGGCCTCTGTCCTGCAGGCATCCCTTGTTCCCCTTGCTGGCCCTGGTCTTTGAGAAGTGTGAGCTGGCGACCTGCTCCCCCAGGGATACCTCGGGCTCTTACCCCGGTGGGGACGTCTGCTCCTCCGATTCCTTCAACGAGGACATAGCCGTCTTCGCCAAACAGGTCAGTGTCTGGAGCCGGCGGGGGGCAAAGCAGGAGACACCTAAGGCCAGAGGAACGCAGGGGAAGCCGTGCCAATGCTGGGGCCCGACTCGCTCTAGCGTTAGCCCCGGGTAAAATCGACTGATTGATTGGCTCGATTCGGGGAACTACTTGGAAGACCCAGCGCTGAATCAGACTCGGCAAATCAGGCCCAGCTGCTATCTTAATCATTGCCAAAAAAACAAAACAAAACCAAAAAAATCTTGTGTTGATCCTGCGTTTATAGACATGCCCTGGCCAGTCCGAGAGCGTACATGAGGCTGCGTCGTGCTTAAAAATTATATATCTAGAGAGAGAGAGAGAGAGAGAGAGAGCAACGCTTGCTTGGAAGGACTTTTAAAAAGGAGACGGTGTGAAATCTGATCTTGCATAGGAGGGGCTGGGCCGCAGCAGGGGTGGGAATATTTTAAAATACATAGACACGGCAGAGCCGAGAGTGAAATATACGCATGTGGGGATGTCACGGAAGCTCTGGGGAAAGAGAGATTTCTTTCTCTCGCTCCCTTTTTATGTTCTGGGGAAATGAGAAAACCAGATTTTTTTAAATCGTGCTAACCTTTTGCCGCTCTGTGTTTTATTTGTGTTGGATTGCCCATGTCTTTCTCTTTCTAGATTAGGACAGAAAAACCTTTATTTTCTTCCAATCCTGAGCTGGATAATTTGGTAAGAAACTTAAAAAAAATCTACAATTCTGTGTACAATGCAAATAATCTTTTTTTTTTTTAAATGGCTTTTCTGCTGGTCCGATTGGCTTTGGGTTGTTTTTCTTTCGTTTTCCCCGTTGGCAGCTACTCGTCTTCATTTAAATGTGGCTCCAGTTCTGCAAAGCTATGCCCCGGGAGTGAGCCGATTCCGCTCAGCCTCCATGCGAGCTTGCATTCCCGTTTGGCCTGGGCCTTTGAGCATGGACCCGAGAGACGGAAGCATGTACTCCACGCTGAGTTTAAGTGCTTTCCTCAATAAGGACTTGTACTGGGACTTATTCAGTGCACCCAAAGTTAAGCACATGCGTGAAGTCTTAGCAGGATCGGGGCTAAAGATGTTGCATGCGGGGGAATTCATTCATTTCCTAAATCTAAGAATGAAGGCCCAGATTTTTAAAGGGGCGTTGGCGTTGCCGCGCTTCGCGTTGCAACGGCCAGGTCGTTTTCAAAGGGGATGGAGGCTGCTAAATCCGTCTTGGAAATGCGACGGAGGCGCTGCGGCCTTTCAAAAGCCAGGCCTTAGTCACCACCTCGGCTCTTTGAAGCGATGCAGAGTAACGGCGGCGCAGGGTCTGGCCCACTGGCGTCACACCAATGGAATCGCCCCTTAGAAAGGCTTTTCAGACTCTCCCAAGGAACGGATTGATTAGGCCTCGTTCTCTGTCGCTTTGGACGCTTGCACGGGAGCCAAATGAGTCTCACTCACATCACACGGGCGTGTGCTGTGCCCCGAGCCGCGGAGAACCAGACGTGTTAAGTTTCACGTGGAGGGCCGGGGAGAGACATGTGGAAAAGTAAAGGCTCCATCCAAGTGACTATGTGGGTATAATCCAGCCAGCGAATGAAATAAACCTGGGGCCGCAGCTCCATGAGTTTGGTTTATGCGCTGGCCCCTTTCCGCCGCTCCGGCCCCTTATCGGAGATGCAGATAAAGCCGCCTCAAACGGATTTCCCTTTGTGTTCTCGTTACAGATGATTCAGTCCATCCAGGTGCTGCGATTCCATCTCCTGGAATTAGAAAAGGTAAATCGACACGTTTTCCTCCCTTCCCCCTCACCAGCGCAGGGTTGGGGGGTCATTATTTGTAACCGTTTTTTATGAAAAAGCAAAAGGAAACCGTCTAAAAGGAACTCTTATAGGCCAGACCCTCAGCTGATCCAAACGGGCCCAGCGCCATTGGTTTCAAATAGAGCAGTGGTGGTTTGCACCAGCTAGAGATTGGTCCCCTTGATTTTAAGGGAGTTCTGCCTGTTTACACCAGGGGGGAATTGGGCCCATAGACTTCAATAGAGCCACACAATTTTACACCAGTGGGGGAGCTGGCCCCAGTGACTCCGGCAGAGCTGTGGCCAATCTATACTCTGGCCGTATGTTTTTTGGGTTTTTTTCCCCTCCAATTGGAGCCATTGCAAACATCACAAGTAACATTTAGTTCAATACGGTGCAACTTTTTTTGCCCGTTCGCAGCTGCTTTGATGATGGATCTGAGGTTTCATGCGACGACAGCAGAAATGAACCTCCAACCAAATCATCCGAGCAAGGAGAGAGTCCCGCCAAAGCCAAACCCCTTCTAATTGATGTTTTCAACCCAAGCCGTGCTGCTTGCCGTGGTGAAAGCTGGATGGCCCGTCACTAAGCCCCACGTGCAGCTGATAAGTGGCCAAATAAAACGGTTTTAAACCCACGTGGGGCTGAATTTCGGCTTTGGGATTATTATCCTGGTTCACTGGTGCAACGGCCCGCGAAGGTTTAATTTTTCATCTGGCAAGACGGGGGGAAGGGGGCAGGTTCAGAGTAGAGGCCAGGCCTGAGAGAGAGGAGAAAATAAATGGATGTGTGTTAAAACAAAGGGTATCAAGTCAATGTTTTGGCCAAATCTTAAACAAACCGTTTCAGCTTTTTCCAAATTTTATTTTTCCCCTGATAAAACTATTCCCCGCATTCGACCCAAATTGACTATTTGCCGTCTTTTTTTTTTTTGCCCAGTTCTAAGCAGGGACTCTCGTTTTGTTCTGCATTGTACAGCTCCTGGCGCAATGGGGTTCTGATGCATGGTGGAGGTGGGGCCGCGGTGCTCCCCAGGGCTCCCGTAACACACCTAATAGTCATAAAAACGTACCGCGCCCGCAGCCCGGCACAACGCAGCCCTGATCCCCGACTGGGGAGCCTAGCTAGAACGGAACAAACGTTTGCAGCTGAAAGTTTGTTCTCCAAAAGAAGCAGACTTGGAACATTTCGCGAAGGCCGGGCAATTTCTGAGAGTTGTTGAGGTTGGAAAAAAAGAAAAATTCTTAAAAAAAAAACCCCAAACCCCCCCCCCCCAAATCAGTGCTTCAATTTGACATTTTTGGATGCGAGTTTTGATTGTTTGGGTTGGAACAACATTTCTGTTGGAATTTTCCTTCCCTTTGATTTAGTTTTAGTTTTAAAATGTCTAAAATCAAAACTAATTGGGTTGGGGTTTTTTTTTTAAGGTTTTAGATTCGCTAAAAGTTCCAAGAAATTTTGTTTTCAGGTCAACACAAAACATTTTTTTTTAAATTTTGAATTGCCAGCAAGCCCCCCGCCCGCCCCCCCTCCCCAATTGATTATTGGGAGAGCTGTAGCTGCTAGATGCTCCGGTACTACGAATAATAATTACTGATTTACAATAGACATGCTGCTCTGGTGAATAAAGTGACTCCCACGCATGTGTGTTTGTAGGGCTGGGGACTTAAACAGGACAGACCCAGTCCAGATCCCCTTGAACTTGGATTTATGCTTTGCAGAATAAGGCTAGAATTAAACACCTGCTTGGCAGTATGCACGGGCTTAAGGGCCTCGCTTATCTTTAAGCACCTAGGTAGGCCTTTGACGTCAATACCCCTCAGTGGACCGGATCCATAGTGGGAGCTAATTAGTACATTCATTGGCAGAGTTCCAGCAGACATGATGGTAAAGGACCTGATTCCAAGCCACATGGAATCGCTCCAATTTTTTGTAAAGCAATCAATCTGTCTATGGTGCCCATCACCATAGCCTCTGGGCACGTCCCAATCTTCAGTGTATTTACCCTCCCTGGCGAGATAGAGTGGTGCTGTTATCACAGAGGTGGAACTGAGGCACAGAGAAACGTACAGGTTAGATCCTCCAAGGTGTTTAGGCACCTAGATGTTAACGGGAATTAGGCACTTAAATACCTTGGAAGTGATTTCCCCCAAGATCACACAGGGAAGCTGTCAGAGAGACGGGGACTAAACCCAGATCTCCCGAGACCCAGGCGAGGGCCCCAACCACTGAGCCGCCCTACCTCGGTAAGGCTGCTTTGTAAAATAGACTCTGTTAATTCACGGTAGCTGCAGCTAGTTCTGACAATACTTCAGTCTCCGGCAGCCAAAGCCCCGTGGAGCACGTGTCATGGTTAAAGTAACGAAACCAGGGTAGTACAGGCCTCTGCCGCAGCCCCGTGCTGTTAAAGAAACATGTGGAGGTTTATCTTTTTATTTAAAAACAAAAACAAAAAAAAACCCCACCACGGGCAGCCCTTCCCCTAGCGTAAATCAACGTAGCTCCTTTAAAATCAAGGCCAGAGGATTGGAGTTGGAGTCTGAACAAAATACAGACGATGCTTGTTAGACCAAACGCTTTCAACGTGACCCATCCAGGGGATAAGCAAATGATGCCCCGACGAACGGCTGGTTTGGATTTACAGAGACGCCGGGGGAAATTTCTTGACGCTCTCACACGTGGAGATCGGGATAAACTTTGCATTTGGGCAGCGTGTCTCGTGCAAGTGAAAGACTAGGATGTCTAAGGCCTCGTCTGCACTCAGATTTTGCCCCGGGATAAACTATGCTTCAGAGAGGAGGAGTGTTGTGGGAGGAGACCGTCCCAGGTGGGTGGATGACAGCTGAATTCTGCTGGCATCACGACAGAATTTGTCTGTTCTCTTCTCCAGCAGTTTAAGGACCGGTCTGAATTAGAAATCTTGCCCCGTCAATATCTAATTGCACCAGTTCCGACCACTAATACGCATGCCCTTGAAACGGTTTGAAATCAATTTAACGTAGGGTGGTAATAATCGGCCAGAGGGTCAGATTCTAATCTTAGTTCAACTGGAATAAATCGGGACTTGGAATCCCGCAAGTCAGTGGAGTGATTCCAAGGGCCGAATTCCAAATCGGCGCCCGGCTCTGGGCCGATTTACACGGGGAGTGAGATCAGAATCGGGCCCTATGGACGTCTCACATTGAGAGGTTAGCGAGCCAGCTCCTCCGCCCCTTTCCCTGGTGTAAACGGGAGTCAATTGTGCGCGGCTAGCTTAGCCCAGCCGGCTGTAGAGAGATCGGTTCACCGTGGGGCGGGAGGTGGGGTTTAAATCGGTAGGCCGGATTCTCCCCAGTCATACCCTGGTGTAAACGGGAGTCACGCCATTAGAGGAGGAATGAGCAAGAGCAGAATCAGGTCCCGCTGGCTTGTCAGTCCAGCAGTTGTGCAGATTGGAAAGAAAACCTGGCTGGCGAGAGATCTCCAGCGCGTGCCGACCAGCCGGGGCTCTGTGGGGGTCCGTGGGCTAGATCCCTGCCTGGCGCGGAGGGGGCAGATCTGGCCCGTTCCCCTCCCTGAGGCGGCGTGTCTGGTAAATTCCAGGCATGATGCAATCGCGAAGGGGGAGGGATGGGGGGGTCCCAGGGTCCCGGCCAAGCGGCAGGCCAGGGTAATGAGCTCATTACAGCCACAATCGCCCTCACGGTTTTTAACTCGATAATCCCCTTGTTAATGGGGTAATTAACCCTTTGAGCACCACAGCGGGCGCCTGCTGGGAGCTGATAAAAGGGGGTGGGGGGGGGCGGCGAAGTGCCTCTGCCAGGGGCAGGGAAGAAAGAGGAAGCCGGGAGCTGGGGCTTTTCAGAGCCGAAGGCCCGGAGAGAGGAAAGGCAGAGGAGGGACCCACAGCGCCCGCAGCAAATACACTGGGAGGGGTCCTGGCCTAGGGCAGACGGGGCTCCGGTCTTCTCACTAGGAGGTGTATTATGGTAACGCCCAGGCCGCCCCCCCCCCCCCAAACCGAGGAGGTGTTCCCATTGTGCCCAGCTCTGCAGAGACACCCCCCGCCCATCACGCATGCACAGCCCTCCCCCCCCCATCGTACCTGCCCGGCCCTGCCCAACGTCTGTCCGTCTCCACCGCCTGTCTTTTCGGCTCAGTGTTTGTACAGCCCCTAGCACGCCGGGGGCTCCTGACAAATACCGGACAGGGCCGAGCACCTAACACCTAACACCTAACAAACACCAAAAAAACCCACCCTCTCCTACTTCAGAGGTCTAGCTGATCTCTGAGGATGAGGGCTCAGGAGCAGAGCTAACATGGGGGGGGGAGGGAGGATCTTACCCACCGTTTGCTGCTGTGGGGTTCTCCCCCTTCCTCTGACGGATCTGGTGGCATCTGTCGCTGCCCGACGCCAGAGGTGGCCCCTGAGTTCTGATCCCGGCTGGCCGGCCCCTTGTCTGGATCTTTTCCGCGAGGGCCAACACAGCCAACCGGGCTAAAGCACCGAAGAGTCAGGCTCTCGGGTGGTTCATCTCAGCTCAGGGCTGGGGAGACGGGACGCCGGGCCAGATGGGCAGGCCTGGTTGGGAGCGGCTGGAAAGCACTGAGCCCAACAGGGTTCTGACCCAGCCACCTGGGCTCGCGCCTCCTAACGGTTCTCCTTTTCGGGGAGCAGGTACACGACCTGTGCGACAATTTCTGCCACCGCTACATCACCTGCCTGAAGGGGAAGATGCCCATCGACCTGGTAATCGACGACCGGGATGGGGGCTCCAAATCCGACCTGGAGGACTTCACGGGGTCCTGCGCCAGCCTCTCCGACCAGGTGGGAGACCGGACGCCTGCTTTAGACAAGGGATTGGGGGGCTCCCTCTTTGTGCCGCGCGGATACACTGTGAGAGACGGGCCTTGCTCCAAAGAGCTCCCAGGCTCCAGAGACAAGGGGTGGGAGGAGAAACTGAGGCACAGAATGGGGAAGTTGCCCACAGTCTCACCGCAGAGCTGGGAACATAACCAGAGCAGCGCAGTACGCACGAGACCATGTTGCTAACACCAGACATGCGACCCCAGAACCTGGCTCTGAGGTCTCGCACGCGGCTCCCCGGCTGGCCCCAGCTCAGCCCACCCTGAGCGGCGGGGACATTTCTCTGGCTGGTGGCAGTGGGCCCAGCTGGCCTCTCGGGGATGGGGACTGTGGGAGCTCGGCGCCGCTCTGGCCAATCCGCGCGTGTCCCCACACCCTGGCCAGGCACTTGGAGATGCGGCTGCGTCCCAGGGCACGTGCATCCCAAAACACAGGATGCGATTGTCTCTCCCGGCGCTCTGGGGGTGCAGCCGTCCATCCAGTGGGATACGAGGCCTTTTCCCCTCCAGGAGGCTCTGATCCAGGTTAGGGGGGGGGACTGGCTTGCTCAGAGGGAAGAGAAATGGGGTCTTTCCTCCCCGGCGCTGATGCGGGCGTGTGCACAGACACGCAGGAACGGACGTGCCGCGCCGGTCACGCATCCGCAGGCGTGTGCAGCAGTTCTCGACACGGACTGACGCGCGCCCCTCAGCTACGAATGCGCAGCCGTGTCCACCGTGTGCCCCCAGACACACACGGGGAGCCCCCAGGGCTAGCACGTTACATGTCGGCATGTGCGTTAACAGCCAGGGCTAGGCACCCTCCCTCCCTCCACATGCATGCGACACCCATGAAGGATTGCAGACAGCTCCCCCCCACTCCCTCTCACACACACACACAGCACCCCCTTGCCCCTTTGGCAGCACGAAGGGGCCCAGGAGGGGGTGGGGGGACAGCCTCCAGTGGCTGTTTTCTGCTCCCCGGGGCCCATGGGGGGAGAGCAGGTGCTAGGGCAGCCCCGAGGCAGCGCGGCCCCATGGACAGAACGCTGAGCTGGTGCTCGGGAGACCTGGGTTTGATTCCTTGCTGGGTGATCTGCGGCAAGTCTTTTTTCCCCCCAGCCTCGTGCCTCAGTTTCCCCATCTTTGAGATCTAGGGATAAAAAGCACAGCCCAGGAGCTAACTGGTATTTGTTGGGCATTCAGCCGATGCCATCTGCTCAGACTGGAATAGCAGGGGGTGAGGGGCAGCAGCAGGATGCGGGGGGAGCCCAGGGCTGGGGGGCTGCGGGTCGGGATGGAGGAGCAGCTGCAGGGTTGCGTGTGAGAATCCAGCCCAGCATCTGTTCTCACCAACCTGGTCCTGACCAGCCCCTTTGCGTTCCCGGGGGCCCGGCTCACCCCCAAAGCGATCACCCCACGTGCCTTCCTCCCACCTTGCTATCTGGGGGACTTGCTGTGGTGACAGGGGCCGCGGGCAGAAGCCGGGGCTCAGTGCGGGGAAGGGTGCGCGGGGTGGATCGGGGGGGGGGTCCCCACCTCCAAAGGACGCCAGACTCCCCTGCACCCCTCCTGCTTTGGAAATAGGAATGACGGAGCCGTGCTTTGGAAAGAGTCCGGCGTTTGCGCCGGCTGGTGACGAGGGAGCGTCTGGGCCGCCCCACCCGCCCGCTGCCCCCCTCGTCTGCCCCCCGCTTGCTAATGCAGCCGGCGCAGTCATTTGCCTATAGCATCTCCTCTGCATTTTTAATACGCCCCCGAGCTACTCGCTACGGGTGGAGGGAGCTAATCCCCAGCCGGGACTTTGTTGTTATAATTAGATGGCGCCGGGGGCCCCCCCCACCCCACCTATCCCCCTGGGGGGTTGATTTGGGGTCAGCTTCAGCATCAAGGCCCTGCATAGACCCCCACTCCCCCCAGTCCATCCCCGATTCCAGACCAGGACTTGGGAGCAGCCGGAGGGGAAGCAGCCCCCCCCCCCCCCCCCCCACCCCCATATTGACCCATCTGTCCTTGGGGTTCGGACAATGACAGACACAGGGGGGTCTGGCCTGTTAGTGGGACCCCTCCTAGGGCAGGGGTCACCTCTCCTAATACACCCCCACCCACACACGCCTTCAGAGACAGACACACCCAACAAGCTGTGCATACACAGGGACACAGCCGCCGCCAACACACGCATGATCTTTGTGTCTCCATGTGCGCCGTGCAAAGATCACGCCTGTGGCTGTGCCTGGGCACATGCTGCCAACATCCGTGATCTTTGCATGTACACCGGTACATGCCGCAAACACAGGCATAAGCTTTGCACGTACAGAGGCATGCCGCAAACACGCATGATCTGTGTGGGTGCACCCGCGGCCAACACACGCCTGATCTTTGCACATATACACACACGCTGCAAACAGACTCGCTGTCGGTAGAGACAACACAACACACACACACCCCGCAAACGCACACATTGCAAAACTTCTCTCTTCCCCGAGGGAATATTTGCAGCCTTGTGGATGGCAGAGGAAGGCTAGAGACAGGAGAATACCCAGCCCTGCTCTTGGGCCTGCAAAACAGCTGTTTAAAGCCCCGAGACCCCCCCAGAGCAATGAACCAAGTTGTTGGCGTTCGTGGTAAAGCGAGACCCCAACTCTCCCCCGCGGAGCCAGCCCCATCGGGCAGTAGCACCCTCTTAAAGGGGCAGAGGGCGCGGGAATACAGGTAGGATGGGAGGGCGGTAAATGCGGGAGCAGGCAGCTGTTTGGGGTGGGGGGAAGAGAGTGGTGTCTAGTGGTTAGAGCAGGGGGGGCTGGGAGCCAGGACTCCTGGGTTCTCTCCCCAGCTCTGGGAGGGGAGTGGGACCTAGTGGTTAGAGCAGGGGGAGCTGGGAGCCAGGACTCCTGGGTTCTATCCCTGGCTCTGGGAGGGGAGTGGGGTCTAGTGGTTAGAGCAGGGTGGCTGGGAGCCAGGACTCCTGGGTTCTCTCCCCAGCTCTGGGAGGAGAGTGGGGCCTAGTGGTTAGAACGGGGGGGGGGGGGGGGG